AACCAACTTCATCGTCTGAAAATCACCCTAAATTACCTCGAGAACCTAAACCAGAATCAAAAGAACCGATCGTAAACCAACTAATTTCATCGTCTGAAAATCACCCTAAATTACCTCGAGAACCTAAACCAGAATCAAAAGAGTTGACCATAAACCAACCAAGTTCATCGTCTGAAAATCACACTAAATTGCCTCGAGAACCTAAACCAGAAGCAAAAGAACCGATAGTAAAAAAAGCAGAATCATATCTTTATCCTCATCACGACGACGCGTTGAAGGCTCTCGAGTTGCTTAAATCATTGGCAAAAGATCAAACCAATTGGGAATTGTATTCAGAAAGTAAAGGAATCAAGGTTTACCAGATGGAAAATCCTAGTAGACCTTTACCATCCATGCGTGGAGATGTTACTATTTACGGAAATTTTCTTCCAGATGACGTTCTCTCATATGCCACCTCTTTAGGCGCAAGAAAACTGTGTAAGTTATTTATAAGCTACTTATTTTTATTTTTACAAAAATAATTTATCCTTATCTCTATAAGAGTAGTTCATTCTTATTTTTATAACTTGAACATCATTACAGTTTATTCTTATCTTTACAACTTAAATATCATTATAAATTCTCAAAGCAGCATAACTTATAATACTTTTAAAGTTTGGTATAATCTTATATTTTATTGACATCTGTACACTACATAGGGGATGATCGATTCGAGAATGGTACTACGCTTGAAAGATATGGTCCTAACGTTGCGCTTACTAAATCGGCTATGAAGGGTACTTTCCCCATCAGGTAAATGTGTGATACATTTATTAGTAAAAAAATATTTGGGCAAAATATATTATTTCTCACGATGTTAATTAAAATAATTTTAATTTCTTTTTTTTAGTGGTCGTGATTTTGCAATGATTAGTGTGATTGACCGTGATCCGGATGGTACGGTCTGGTGTGCAACCACGTCGATTGTTGATCCCAAAATTCCCGAAAACAAAAAATATGTTCGAGCAAAATTAATTCTCGCTGGATGGGAATTACGACCCGTTTATGCTAGTGCTGGTAATAGAATCGCAGTTGATGTTAAATATATTGTTGATACTGATATTAAACTTGAATCGATTCCAACGAGAATTCTCAAGACAATCTCAATGCAAACACCAATGAGCGTTGCTAAAATTGAAGAATTAATGAACAAAATTGGATTTCCACCGTATGTTCGATATACAACCGGAGTAATAATAGATGAAAGTTTTAATCCCGAAAACTTTCAATATGATTTAGCAGTATCAAATATTGAAGAACAAAGGATCACTGAAATTCGAATATCTAATAAAATGTATCCTAATGGCTTTAACATTTCTATTATACCGAAGGAAGTCAAGGTTGAATTGAATCCAGATGATAAGGAAATTATCCGTATCAATGTTCCGACCGATATTAATGCAGAAAAATTACAATTAAAAATAATTAAAAATACATCTAATGATATTCAAATTACATTTAATGGAAAAAGAC